GCTGATGATGTAATAGCATTATGCAGCATTAAAGCAGTGGTTTATTTGATTCATTTATGACAATGACATTCTCACCTCAGACAGAAAATAAAACATTCAGCGGGTTTGTTGCTCACAGGCTTCACATCAGTTCAGTTTGGGACAGAGGCAGGGCAGCTTTCTGCTAAGCTCAGCTAAAATGAATTCATGTAGAGGTACGACGGATTTGCTATCACGTCGACCTACCCCTTTACCTGATATGTGAAACTGAGGCACTGACCTGCACAACCTCTGTGACCAGCGCTCCAGCTCCGGTGGCGTACATGGGAAACAGGAGGAGCGGCAACAGGAAGAGAAAGGCCAACGCTGCCAAACACAGAACAAAGTTGTGCCACACACCTGGAAAGAGAAGACAAAAAATGGTTTTTTTTGTTTTTCCTCATTTTTATCTTCATTTGAGTTGTGTAGTTTTGCTTTTTAAACTTTGGTTTAATCACGTTAAAAACAATATTGTCAACAACAAGTCGATCTATAGGTGGAAATCTTCATTTCAGTTCTATGCTGCTGTGGTTTTCCTTCACCCCACAAGCCATCAGCTAGCAACATAGCTAACATAGCACAGAGGAAGCTAACAGTAGGATATTGGCATTTGAGGCATTTTACACCAACAGCTGCTGTTTGCACTTACATAAAAAAAACTTCTGCAAACATACAAACTGATCAAAGTAAGCAGACATGACTGAAAAGATCAGATGACTATGCTCACTATCATTTACTTTCACTCTTGTCACGTTCGAGTCTTTACACGTGAAGCTAGTAGGACCCTAGTTTGGTGTAACACCTGTCAGTAAGCTTTTATTACACTTATGTTAACATAAAATGTTGTTGTCACCGCAATTAAATATGATTCCACTGCAGCTGTCTCCTGTCAGCTGCACACCTGCTGCAGTTTGCGGCCTCATGACTCTCACTGATCCAAAATAAGATCAGTGAAAATAAATTAGTTGAACAACACAAATACATTATTTTTCCCCCATTGTATTTCTCCTGGACCTGTTTTCATTTATTATTTCACTGTTTAAGTCGAACTTGATG